CAGCTCCATTAATATCCACTATTCTTTTATAATTATTTTATAAAAACGTAACCCCCACACTTGGATTTTCTCCTGTATCGCGAGGCAGCTTGCAAACATAAATTGCACAAGGACACACATCCAGACCCCAAACAATTATTTCTAGGATATACAAATACATTTTCCGTGCGGGATTCAAACCCGCGGCCCCCGGCACAGCTACTCATTGCTAAGCCACTGCGCCACGGAGCCGTCGTTCGTCCGCACATTGGCCCGAACCGAAGTAAACTGAACAACCTTCCAACGTGTGGACGCCGTCACCAACTCTCGGCCAATATATTCGCCACTACATTCGCCACTGTATTGGCCAACGTGTAGAGGCGACATTATACGATCGTAGAGCCAACATTTGGTCAGAAATATAATATCCATAGATATTTCTTTCAATTCAATACGGTTTTAGTTTAAAATTTATCAACTACGTAAGCTATATATTCGCTTTGTATTCGCGTATATGTAAAGAGAATAATTACACATTGTAGATGGATATAGATACAACACTTCTCTTCTATCTGGGAGTCCGTCTGAGTAAGGTACATTATTTTACCTAAATCTCCTGCCAAATAGCAGTGCTTGCACTGCTGTGTTCCGGAGTGAATTGTATAGAGGGCCAGTATAGTTACATGCTGTTAGGTATTCCATATTTATCCTTAGAGGTGACAACGCATAGCCTTCTTTATTGAAGTTAGTCGCAGGTATGCATGGATTATAGTAGCAACTTACCATATGTTGAAATGTATGTTAGGTTATTACTTCAATATGATAAAATAATGTTAACCTTACAAATCGAAACTGTATTAATGAATAAGTTAAATGGCACGTATAAGGAAAAATCTACAAGAAGCTTTCCACCTTCATAGTTCCTAAGTTATGATGAATTATGTGTATTAGCGCAGATGTGCTCGGTCGCATGAAAGCGTTGTTCATTCTGTTAAAAATTATTTTATTTTAAGTGCAATTTTTCTCCTTTTAAAATAAAAACAGACTCTGCATTTCAAAATATATTTTCATTTTCCATCAACAATGAGGAATTTCTGTTGCATTCTTAATTTATAGGAGACGTGCGTCCATACTCATATTATTTTAATAGAGGCGAGTCCTTTTTTTCTATAGGTATGAGTTACATGTAAAATTAACTTAAACTAAAAGGCTTTGAGGTAACATTCGAATTAAGCTTAAACTAAGTTCTGAAAAATAGGATATCAGCAGCAGCAATTTAAAAAAATATATGTTTATCTTTATATATAGTATTATGTATATATACGTGATATATATTTTTGTCACATGATATAATATTTTCATCTAATACATTTTTTGTAAGTATAATATATCGATAGTTTTTTTCTATTTGAACAATAAAATAAAGTGATTGTTTATTGTAACTAAAAATAAAAAAATATAAATATACATTTACGCAACACTATATGAAAATAGATGTAATAAAAACATATCAAGTACACTCACCGCTATTAACTCGCAAAAAGACAGAAAATTAATATAGCAACTATAATTTATCCTATGAAACACACAAGCACACACTAGACGAAAGCACTTTTTATACAAATTAAAGTCTATTGGTCTAATACTACAAAAGAATACAAGGATTAAAAAAAAGACTTTTAAATAAGAGGCTATTTGTGTTATATATAATACTTATAAGATATAACATGTAACACAAAAATTGTATATAATCTTATAGAATGCCTGTGTTCTCCATATTAAAATTTTTATAAGAAGAATTAATATTTTTACCAAACTTATCAAACACAACAAAGATAATATATAATTCCGATATTATAAAATATATAAACTAAGGCGTGTATAAGGAATATGGTTGGTAAGAAGTTATATAGGTTGAGGTTAAAGGAGGTATAACATACCGAGTCTGTAATGTTATAATACAAATATGTTATACATAATATTAAAAAAAATAAAAAGAAATCATTATATTATTTCCTAAACAAACCAAACATTCATTATAAATAAAACTATAAGAGTAATTATACAAAATCGCAATAGTATAAAGTATGTATGTATATAAACCTTTAAGTTAAAATTAGCAAAAAAGCAAAAAATGTACTACTATTTTATTTCAGAAAAAGATTCTCTCTTCACCTTTTGAGCCATTGTACGTTGACGTGTTGGTGGTTATGATAGAAAATCCTACTGAAGTGAACAAAGTTTTTTTAAGTGCATTTAAAATTTAAATTTATATACATACAAACATCAATAACAAATATTTTGTTCTCTGTGGAGTTGTCTGTCCCACAATGCGACAGCCAAGTGCTTAACTACTACGCTATTGAGCCATATTTTTTTAAATTTTTTTATCACTTCAATATTAATTTTGTAATTAAAATATTCAGACCTCAATGTCAGAGTTTCGTATCAAAAGTAAGGAGGTTCTTTAAATATTGCGGTGTCTAGACATGATTAACACTAGTGCACTAGATGGTACACCACCTATAGGAATAAAGACTTGTGGACCTAACTAGTCTCCCCTGTTGACACGCTTGTTACGCCTCTAATTTAGAACTAAAATAGTGCCAAAATCCTGGAAGCCGGCCAACGTGTAGCCTTTTCCAAAAACGGCAGCCATGTTGCCTCTGTCAATTATCGGTCAATCTCAAATACATTCACTTCATACTTTGCAAGATTATGGCACGTATATTTAACGCCCGCTTAATGGCATACATAGAACAGAATGACCTCCTTAGTGACCGGCAATACGGGTTTCGTCAAAATCGGTCAGCGGGAGACCTACTAGCGTATGCCACACATGTAGCCCCATGGCTAGGCATTCGAGAACAGTGGGAAAGCGTTCGCTGTTTCCCTTGATGTCTCAAAGGCCTTTGACAGAGTTTGGCATGCTAGCCTGTTGGATAAGCTTCCAGCGTGCGGCTTATTTCCTGATCTCATTGACTAGGTAGAAGACTTTCGGAGTAAATAGTATCTCTGGTTCGTCATCGATGGCTGCTCATCCGATCCTGTGGCGACTAATGCCGGTGTTTTTCAGGGGTCCGCTCTCTCTGCAACTCTATTCTTGCTGAAAATTAATGATTTGATTATGCCCGGTATTCACGGTTATGCAGAAAATAGCTCAGTTGTGAAGAGATAACAGCAGAGAAGTTATGATAAAGCGCGTGAAACTCACCATCAATCATCACCAATCTTGTGAAATTCAACTCCTCCAAAACACATGTGTGTCTCTTCGCTGCAAAAAAGAGCCAGCTCAACTTAGCTTCTTCTTTCCGAAATGTATCACTGGAATACACCAACCGCCTTTAGTTGTTAGGGGTTGAGATATTCTGAAATCTGTACTTCGGTTGGTTCATTGAGATCAAGACCAAAGCAGCTGCAGGGAAGCTAGTAGTCCTTGCAAAAGTGCGACGATACTTTACGCCGAGACAGTTGCTTACTTTATATAAAGCATAAGTCCAGTCGTGCATGGAGTATTGCTGCCATATATAGCCTGATGATGCAAAATGCCACCCAGCACCTTTGAACTCAAAGGAAAGACGTGCGAAGAGGCTTTTTGGTGACCTGGATTCGGATGAAACCAGTCTTACCAGCCTCGAACACAGACGCAAAATAGCCAACCTTTCGGTTTTCTACAGGATCCATTTTGTTGAGTGTTAAAGGAATTGCATAATTTAGCTCCTCCCTTTCCCTTTCACCATTGGATAATCAGACGTTCGGCCATTCTCCTCCCTTTCGTTGTTGACTTACCACGCAATTGAACCAATTGGTTTGCTACGTCGTTCATACAGCAAACCGTACGCATGATGAACGAAGGAGTGGAATAAGTTTCCAGCGTCTGTCTTTCCATCAAATTACAGCATGGGTGTCTTCAAGGCACCAGTGAATATGTTTTTTTAAGTCATCATGTGGGATTTTAATTACGGGCTGGCTTAGAATAATTTAAAAATATTTTCGGCGGGCAGGTCAAAATTTTCAAAAGGGAAGAAGGTAAACCAATAACACATGGTGAATTCGTTAAGAGTATTTACTTCGTGAACGACAAATTACCACTTGTGTCGCGTTGCTGCCATGGCGGTACTCATATTCTATAATTACTCGAATATTTAACCTATTCATGATGATGAAAAATATTCAAATGCGATGAAAACATAACACTTATCAATAAACAAATGATTAGTCATTTGTTTTATGTTTTGAAAAAATAACTCCACGTTTTAAAATATATAATAAAAAAGATTGTCGTCGCGTCTGTCAGACAGTTAACATGTGTGTTTGTGCTCTGTGATCTTAATTTACGAGCTCATAATTTAAGTGTTTCTTTTTGGAAGTATTTTGCATTTTTCATACAATATAGACATACAACTTGTTTCCTTAAGTTTTGCTGTGACTTATTCAAGGCAAACTAAAGCAATATTATCACAATATTACAACAGATATCAACAAAATTAAGAAACGAGCGAGGGTAAAAAGTCATCGACCCGGTACGTGGCATCTTCACGGTTACGCACTATACTTAACCGTGAAAGTTGTGTGCACCATTTTCATAGTATTATCGCTAATAAATGTGCTACTAATACCACGAAATTGTACTTTTTTCCGGGTCTGTAAATTAAAGCAGCATAATGAAGTGCGCTGGTTGCTTGAAGTCGATTAGAGACAGTGCCGGTATTAGTAAATATGCCTCTACTGCATGTGAAAAAATTTTATGCACAGTGTGTATAAATGCTACAATACTCACTGCTGAGCGGAAGATTTGGAAATGTCCCGAATGCAGTGCCGCGCAAAAAAAAAGTTGGGGATAATAGTCTTACTCCAGTTCGAGGTGGTTCTGAAAATGTTACCACACGTAAAAAGCAGGACTCTGTGGTGTCTGAAATGACCCAAATCACTGAACAGCTGCGCCCCTTAATAGTGAATTGTGTTCCGTTAAAACGAAATTAAATGACCTGATCCAATCAATTTCTTATACAAACGAGCGAATGGACGATATTATGGGTATTCTCGCAACCACTAATGAGAAAATGAAATACTTAGTAAAACGTGATGAAGACGTCCAAAATTTGCGGGTTACAGTGTCACAACTGCAAAATGAACTAAAAATACAAGCTCAACAGAATATTAGAAATGAAGTAGAAATTGTAGGACTTTCTGAAAACTTGGATGAAAATCTGAATCATACCATACTCGTAGCAGCAACGAAACTGGGAGTTGACCTAGAAGATAAAGGCACATGCCGACCACCGAAAACCGTTGCTCTATCAGAAGATAGCTGCAATATGCCGCGGCCAGTGGTCGTTAAATTTCTGCGTCGATCTTAACGGGATCAAATCCTTAAAGCTACAAAGTTAAGAAGAAACATAAATAGTTCTGACGTGGAGGTAGCTAGTCTAACCCGGAAAGTTTATTTTAATGAAAGGCTTACCAAAGACTACAGAGTGTTATTTCGAGACACTAAACATAGGTCCAAGCAACATGGATACACATTCTGTTGGTGTAATCAAGGCTTTATTTACGTCAGGCAACGTGAAGGGTAAATATGCTCAGCTTATTCAATCGCACAAGGATCTTGACCGCCTGCTTCCACCCACTTCTACAGTCTAGAGTACATAATGATAAACGTAATGATTTACATAATTATGAAAGGCCAAGGATTTATGAAGTTTACTTAATGCAAGCTACCTTACATGGCTTTATTATTGCTAAAAATATATGTATGTATAACTGTAAACCCTTTTGTTATTTTTATATTATTTTAAATTTCACTTTTTACAAGTCCTTATTTTTGTTTCCTAAAGTAAAGAAACCAAGTGTTTAACTGTAAAAATGTTTTGACTAATTATACGTTTTGTCAACTACGAAAATGATTGTGACTGAAAACCTGGGCCTTGAATTAGACTCAATGCAGATTAAGTGTGAAATTATAAAAGATATATGTGATTCTAAACATGTCATCACTCCGGAATTTATCTTTAAGCTATTTTGTCTCAATATCAGAAGCCTAGGAAAGAATTTAGATACTTTAAGGGTAGCCTTACAACGTTTAGAAATAATAATAATAATAAACATTTATTTCTCCCACTTTTTACATAGTTACAATAGTTTCATAAATAGTTGAAGAGTTTTTGAGTAGCTGTGGGAGACAGGAGCCCAAACTAGGTTACCTTGTGCTATGGGTCTCCTGGCTCGCCCTCTTGGCTTTATTACATACTTTTCGATGATACTGTACTTAGACATGAAGTGAGCGTTGCATGTGCAGATCGAATATGAGATTTCCAAAGTGTAATTGTACAATTAAAGGCATATAGAATGAGTATAATATGCAATATGTTTTAAATGATATTAATAAAAGTATATAATCAATTTTTTTTATATACATACACAAATATAAGTGTGTGCGTGTGTATCTCACTATTCCGTTTTTACAGTAAATTCGTTTTGTATCATAAGCCAATCTGTTAATTTTTTCTTACATTTATATTTTGTTAGTTGAAAAATTGAGTATTTTTTATTAACTTTATTATATAACCTGTCCATTCTGTACCCATAAAACTTTTGGGCGAAAGTAGATTTTGCTTGTATCGTTTCACATACCTCATAATTTCTTCTCCTAGTTTGTAGTAAATTGGGTGTATACACAGTGCAAGTGTATTTTTTAAAAATTGAATACAATATATATAATTTTCGTACTGTAAGCATGTTAGCTTCACTGAATAAACTGGTTGTTGAGAAAAATTTTGGTTTATAAAGTGCAACTTTTAAAATCATTCGTTGAGCTCTTTCCAATTCAAGCATGTGAGTTTTATTCGAACCTCCCCAAACAGTAATACCGTAGGTTAATACATATTGGCACAAGGATATATAAACAGTTTTTAGCAATATCCAGTTTGTGACATGTCTTAAGTTTTTAAAAATGTAAGTTAGTTTTCTGACCCTTTGGGTTAAATTTCTTATGTGTGCTTTGAATTTAAGATTGTTATCATGGCTTACGTGGTAGAGCCACGCTGCTGCTATATTAGTAGTAGCACGAAAGGGTCGGCTCGACTGGGGTAGGACCACGCTCTCACAAATTACCAGCATAAAATAGCAGCTGAAGGCTGTTGTGTTTCATATTGTAAATGCAGAGAATCGGAGACCTTTTATTACTGGAAACGAGGCATTCAGCATTACACTAGGAGCCAACATGGCATTAAACCCCAAAAAATTAATATTTTTCGGATTATTAGTTAACTAATAATGAAAAAATACCTCAAATTGATTTATTATTGAATTAATGGTGATTTATTCTAAGGATAACAGCTGACAGACAGCTGACCTGGTGTTACTAAGTAAAATTGCTCAGGATCGTTTAGACTACCCTGATTTATTAAAAAGATTACATATCTCAGTTCCCTCTCGTTCCTTGTGTTATTACAATCCCTTACATGTTTCTTTATGTAGATCAAATTACAGGCGCAACTCATTCTTCTTAAGAGTGTAATAGTGGAGACGAACTGTCCACTATTAACAGACTCCGAGTGGTTTTCTTTAAGGTGGAGAAATGAAACTACTGTTTATGTTTATGAATGTACTGTCGAATGGGATTCGGAATGGAATATATTTTGCATCAACCTTGCCTATATTTATATGGCTGGCTCACTATTGATTTGCCAATGGTAACAATTAATATTTTGCCTAGCCAATTATATTGCTTATTTTATGACCAATGAAAACTATTTAAAATATACAATTATCTACGTTTCGTTTCCCGGCGTGAGACTTGTTTGTTGTTCACGAAGCTACGTCGCTGGACCGGGCTATATAAGACATGCAGATCGGTGCGCACGCGTAGTCGGCGGGCGGCGGCGGTGTGGAATACAGCTCCGGAACAGCAAGAGGAAACGAACTGCGGCGTTGAAGAAACGGCTCACCATTGGTCGACGGATACGTGACGATAGCGGCGTGTGAAGTCGGTGTGGCGCTGAATGATATTTGCGGCTGCTTCTTGTTTCTTTATAAGAACGTCAAATTATCTATATACAGTCCGCAGTATCTCAGTAGCCAAGAATAATTAGGAAATAAAATGTTTTTTTTATTTATTCTCGCCTTCCGCGTTATGGTAGCAGCGGAGTATATATTATTTATTCCCGTTTCGGTTTGATTAATCTGGCTGCTACATCACTCTCCCCCCAGCGAAAGCGTACCGGAGGCTTGACGACTCGCCCGTATTTCGTAGTTTTTAAAATAGGTTTCAACTGGGTTGATGTAGATGATGAAGTTTCAAGCTTCCTCGCTGGTGGTTTTGATGATGATGATGAATCCGCTGCAGTATCCTCGTTAATAATATAGGCTGGCTTTAGTCGGTCGATCGATATAATCGTAGATTTCCTTCCGGGTATTTGTAGTTTAAAAGTCTTGCTATTTCTCTCTAATACTTTATACGGTCCATCGTAGGTAGGTTGAAATTGTTTTTTCATTGCGTCGTTTCTTACAAAAACTTGCTTGCATGTTTTCAAATCTTGGTGAATGAATACTGATTTATTATTTCTGTGTGATTGCATTTCGGTGCATTTCAACGATAAGGCTTTGTTAATTGATTCTCGAAGTTTAGTTACGAAATCGTAATCCATTTCTTGTTTGTTTGACGCTGCTGAACTGAAGAAGTCACACGGCAGCCTTATGCTGCAGCCGTAGGTTAGCTGAGCGGCGCTAAGACTAGTGTCTGCACGCGGTGTTGCTCGTAGTCCGAGTAGCACTGTAGGTAGCTCATCAATCCACTTTGTATGTTGAGATAAACGAGTTTTGAGTGCAGTCTTTAATGTACGATGCCATCGTTCGATTATTCCGTTTGACTGAGGATGGTATGCTGTTGTACGCGTCTTCTGTATTCCCATAGTTTGAAGAAGTTTGAGGAATAGGTTGCTTTCGAAATTCCTTCCTTGATCCGTTGTGATGGTTTTAGGTGATCCGAAACGAGTAATCCAATTTTCATAAATTATCTTCGCGACGGATTCGGCTGAAGTATCATCGGTAGGTATTGCTTCTGGCCATCTTGTTGTTCTGTTGATCATTGTTACGAGATAACGATGTCCTTGCGGTGAAGTAGGTAATGGTCCAACGATGTCAACGTGCAAGTGTTCGAATCTCTCCGTGGGTGGAAATGTAGCTAGACTACTTGATGTATGCCTTTGTATTTTGCATTTTTGGCATTGAATGCATTGCTTCGCCCAGTTGCCAACATCCGCTTGCATTGCAGGCCAAAAGAATTTTTCAGTGTTGAGTTTTCTTGTTGTTCTAACACCTGGATGACTAATGTTGTGCAGTGCATTGAAGACTTCGCGACGACATTCTTCTGGTATGTATGGTCGCATGGTTGTCGTTGAGGCTTCACAGTATATAGGTAGATGCGTCATTGGCATTGTAACTTGCTTGATGGACAAGTTACCTTGCTTCGATAGATGTTTTATGTTGTCACTATCTCTGTCTTGTGCTGCGGCGATCTTATGATAGTCGATTGATGTAGGGCACGTTACACTGTCGATTGGTACGCGACTGAGTGCGTCGGCAACTATGTTGTCCTTTCCACTGATGTGACGTATGTCGGTCGTGAATTCACTTATGAAAATAAGTTGTCTTGCTCTTCGTGGTGTTTCCGATAGTGATGGTTTCTTTGGAAGTACATATGTTAATGGCTTGTGGTCGGTAAAAACGATCAGGTTTCGACCCTCGAACGTTTTTCTGAAGTGCTTGATAGCCATGTAAATAGCGAGTAGGTCTCGGTCGAATGTACTGTGGTTACGTTGAGTATCGGAGAACTTCTTCGAAAAATAGCCAAGTGGTTGCCATTTCCCATTGCTGTATTGTTGGAGAACTGCTCCTGCTGAGAGATCGGATGCGTCGCTGAAGATAGCAAGGGTTGCTTCGTGTGATGGGTGAGCGAGTAAAGCTGCATTTTGGATCGCAATTTTACAAGCTTCAAATGCCTTCGTGGCTTCATCGTTCCATTCGATTGACGTTTTATCTTTTTTCTTCGTTTTGTGAAGGTAGGCGTGAAGTGGTGTGTGGCCGTGGAAGGAAAAGGGAGATCTCCCGCCGGGCAAGGTGTTCTGCCCGGGGAGCGGCTCACACTCCGTGTGATAGTTCGGAGAAGTTCTATATATACTGTTTTATAATTCGGAATGTTGATAGCGTGATTTAGGCTTCGGTGTGTTTTCGCTTGTGGCGCGACGACAGCGCCGCTACATCACCCGCTCGCTCAGACCGGAGGTCGATAGTGCAGCCTCGTTGCCGACGAATGTGCAAGTGCCAGGAGATTGCCTTGTAGTCTGCGGTGAGTTGAGAA